CCGGCTGTTTGTTACTGTTGCAGACCGTTGAGCTGTTTTTGCGGTCGTTTGTCGAGTTGGTTGTTCATCCTTTCCTACCAGCGCTAAGGAAACACTCAGACGTGTGTACCGATGAGTGCGGCTGCTGCTGTCGGCTGAAGCCTGTGCCGGCCCATCGTCTGTCTCATATTTCCTCTCTCCCGTCGCTCTCTTCTCTTTCTCTCGCTCGCTCTCGTTGCTCCCATCTCTCCCATCGCTACCGACGCTGCTCGGAACAGCCCCGGGCCTAGTCCTATGTTTCTGTCGGTGGGCGGCGCTCCGAGGAGCCACCGACGGGTCGCCGGTTCGCGGCCAGCTGGCCGCATTCCTGTGTGTCGGTCGACGCTGCCCCCTCCCCCTCCCCCGACGCACACCGTACCACCGGCTCTGCCGCCCGCGTTAGGAGGGAATAGAGCATCTACATATGTGTGTGCCGTAAGCAGGATGTGTGGACGATAAAACAGATGGCACCTAACATGCATATTGTTTGTTGCAGTATGCATCAATGCTGATCACACTCTTTCGCATTACTTACTGCACATCTCATCCCGGAAACCTTCAGCTGAATCTGTGAAGTTTTGTTGAAGCCTCTGTTATCAGCCTACCGAGAAAACGCCCTTGAGTTTCCGACCCATCTATTAGAGCCCTCGGCGCGGCCAACTGTGTGAGTGATGACGGTAGTTCTTTTCTGCGCGTCGGTTCCTTGTAGCCGCCCGGCCAGTGCCGCCTGTCTCCGGGCGGCGGGGGCGGGGGCGGGGGCGGCCGCTGACATCTCCCGATAAGGCGCTCGGTGGATAACGAAGACGGATGCGCCGGCCGCGCTGTTCTGTTGTCCGCCCCGGCCCAGTGCGCGCGGCTGGCTGGGTCAGTCTCAGTCCGCGGGCCCGCGGCGATGGTGTGTGTGTCGCCGGCGGCGGTGGGACGTCCGATCCGCCCGGGGGTCACGCCGAGGTCACCTCCAGTTGACCCCGCACGTGCGCCGTGACCTTTGTGGGTCGGAAGGGCGGCAGCGGGCGGACCCGGTGAAATGATGGCCGCGGGAGCGGGCGGAAATGATCACTTTGACTGCTGCCGGAATGGTGCTCGGTGGGCGTCGGACCGGCTGTTTTCGCCCGCCGTGCCGTGCCCGCTGTCGGAACGTGGTGGGTGACGTCATCCAGGGTGGGACGCTGAACTGTTGGGACAGGGTGCTGGGCAGTAGGGTAGGACAGGTGGGACACTGTACTGGTGGGCTGCTGGTGAGGACAAGGGACTGAGTGATAGAGTAGGGTTGGTAGGACGTTGCGTTAAGGAAATGAATTATTACGGACACGTAGTCTCTCGTCCTTTTTCGTCTTTCCATTCGTTTCATTGTGCATCCTTACATTCCGATCTCATCACGTTGGCACCGCCTCTGGTCTATCACCTGCTTCGGTCGGTGCTAATTAGGCCGTACCAGCTTCACCTCGCGACTTTTCACTGCCTTGAGTCCAGAGGACTCGCATATGCGTCGCTTATGAGTCGCATTTGCGCTGGATTCGCCGAATGCTCATCAGGGACCGCCGCCGGAGGTGTCTTCGTCTACGGAATTACGGATACCTGCGAGTTTCCTTGTCGTGACGGCTTTGGGGGACGCTGTCGACCGGTCTCCTCAGCTCCTCTGTTCGCCGCACGGTGCCCGATGACGCACGACCGGCGTGATGACGCCGCCGCGGCACCGGCCGAAGCCCCGTCCGGTGACGGCATTCAGAGCCGCCGGATTACATTGAGAGCGGTGGGATTAGCCGGCCTCGCGGGCCCGGCGCGGTGGTTCGCTCGGCTGGCCGACTCACTGATCTGCGCGACGGGGAACAGAACGGGACGGACGGCGACGCGCCGACTGGAGCCGCCGGGAAGGGGAGAGATAACGGAAAGATGTGGGTCATGGCGGCCGGCAGGAATGTGATAGGAATCAGCGGTAGCCGGATGAAGGGATAAGCCGCAAACGGTCGGACGGGAGCGACTGCCGACTGGTTTAACCGCACGTCAGAACCTGGTGTATGTTAGCGTCTAATGGTAAGCGCACACGCTAGGTGCCTTGGAATGCTGGAAGCCTCGTCGATGTCTCTCAGTATCATTGGTCTTTTTATTCGACACGAGCAAGGGCGGCTGAATCTGCGGGGCGCCGCGAATCGTGCGGCGCAGCCTAACTGCAGGCGCCATGAGCCGTGCGGCACAGCCTACCTTCAGGCGCCTACCGCACTGCCATCTGTCGGCCGAATTATCGGTCGGTCGGGGCGCGCCGCCTCTCCGCCGTATGAACGCGTGCCGCGGTGTTGGGCGGTGGATTCCTGGCGACTTGTGTCGGCAGCTGTCTCACCCTACTCTGCACGACTCACCGACCGCGGAGAGGGACGGGTGGGGGCATTTCTGGACGGTTTTCAGAACTGGAGCGATGACGCTATTCGATCGGCGTGCTGTCGTATGTGCCATGAGAGATAAGGAGCCCGCGAGAGTTGGCATATGATATGGGAAGATGCAGGACGGCATCGCCATCGATAGCTACCGGCGAACTATCCACTTGGCATTTGTGGTAGGAGTAGCAAGGATCAAGACTCCTGTGAAATTAAAAACCGGCCCTCTTCATTGGTGTGGCGTGCCCACCCAGCTTCCGCTCCTTTCCTCTCCCCTTCCACCCCTGCCTCTCTCCCCTGTGACCGGAAGGCCGAGCCACAACAGCGGCAAGGCCGCGCTCTGCTGGTGGTGGCACAGTTACGGCGGCGCGGCGGTGACGTCACCGGAACAGGGTCGGTGACGTCACTGGACCGAGGTCACGTCGTCGCGCGGCCGGTGCGCGGTCTGCAGGGCGGTGATGCACGCTCTCCGCGCCCCGCAGCAGTGGGACAGACCCCGGCGTGTTGACGCGGCGACCTCGACACAGACCGTGCCGAGACGACCCTCCGCTCGCAGGGCCCGCCGCTGCACGCGCCCGGTGCGCCGCCGCGCGGCCTGCGGTGGTTGTGTTTGGCCGGCTGCCGGCGCGGCGGGAAGACTGGCACGGGGTGGAGGGACGGACGGCCGAGACGACTCCGGACTGGACAGGCAACACGCCCTCAGTGGCCGCCGCTGGACACGGGAATGCAGCGGCGGATGCCAGAGCCGTCAGCGGCGTGCTGGTGGCTCCGCTCCGCCGCGGGGAAGGCGCCCGCTGCTGGCTGATGCTGCAGCTCGCGCAGTGAACGGTCCGCTGACTCGTCGATCACCATTGATCATGCGATTAACCGCTGGACAGTAGCCGGATGACTTCCGTCAGCCACGCGGGCTGCCCCGACTCAATCGCTGTGTCCCTGCTCCTGCTCTCGATGGATCGTGAGCTCGCTCCCAAGGGTCGATTGGTCTCTTATTTGAATTGGTCCCAGGCTGTCTATTGGTCTTTTCGTTTAATGTATCTTACGGCTAAACCTATGTGGTTGCTGCTGCCCGTCAGATTTGCGCGACTCACGGTACCGAGCCCGAGTCATAGACGTAGGCCAGAGTCGCGGACCGCTGTGTCTCACAGACACTAACACACAGACACTACCCGCTGGCGTCCTTCGAGACTCTCCCAGCCACCGGCTAATGGGCTGGTATTTAGCGGCGGCTGATCACCCGCACCGCCACCTGATCAAATGACGCCGGGACTTAATCAGACACGATGAAAGCGGCTTAGGCTGGCCTCAGCTCGTGATGTAGTGTTGCTGTGCTCGCCGACACGTCGGTGGTGTATTTTTAGTCTCGACATAAAACTAATGGTTATAGCTGCATTGATGATAAATTCGGATTGGCTTGGCCATTTTGTGAATTTGTGCTGTAAACCAGTTCGATTGTTAGGACTTAGGATATCTTGGCTTCACTGTAAGGGCGCCTGGTATATTGTATAAATTGCTTCACGGGGCGTAAATGTCACTTTCCTTTTCGATTCCCTCGCCAGTCTCTGTTCGTACTGTCTCGGCCCATCCGTATCGCAGGTGTCAGGTGACAGGGGGGGGGGGGAGGGGGTCAGGCGCACCTTCTATCCCACGGTTACCACCGGATTTCATCTCTGGCTACTGAGCACTGGTCTTTCCCTTGGTCAGTGGCCGCAAGTTAATTGTTAACTGAATGACCAACGGCAGTTCATTGGTCAGTGGGTCGGTCAGAGGGGTCGAACCGGACATGGACCCCCCTCGCCCCCCCCCGCGCCGGTTGGGCCAGGTCAGCGGCGTGCTGCTGACTTCACCACCCCCTTTGATGACGTAATGCCACCGGCGGAAATGATGCTATTTCTTGGTCCGACGGGAGTATCGTAGGGAGATATACGGGGAGAAATGGCCAAGAATGACACGGCTGTTTGATCTCCTTGGCAGGAGCTTTGTTGTATTTGTGTCTGCCGTAGCCTGGATAACTGGAGCGCGGCTATATTTACAGCTATTATTTCACCGGAGTGGAGAACGATCTGACAATGGCCTCGGCTGATCGGGCCCGCTCAAACAAGCGCGTTGTTTTCCGTTTTGCCATAACACAATTATCATTACCTGTCTGCGGGTACTGACGTGGTTGTCGGCGTGATTTCCGCGTGCGAGCGGTAAACAGAGCGCTTGTTCGTGTGACCTCAGTCAAGGTCAGGTGTAGGGGGAGGGGGGGGGGGTGCTGCAACGCGCGCTGCTGCAGAGTGGCCCATTAGGTATCGGAGTGGGGGGGGGAGACAGTAACTCACTACTGCCTCACGCACGCCGGCGGCGGGGCGGCGGAGGGAGGGGTGGTAACGGGGTCTGCTGCCTCTCTGTCTCTCCATTGGCCCTCGAAACCACCAACTCACGACAGACCTGGCTGCCCTCCGTGTCACGGCCAGCGGCGAGTCACGGTGACCAACTTCGTGACTAACGGTTTCGATTAATCCGTGTAAATCGCTGTACAGTAACAAGTGACCAATGCCCAGTCAACTGACCTCTGTGCTCCCTGTGCTGTGTTCCGTGAGCTGACGTCTGTTCTCTCTGCCTTTTCAGAGTCTCGCTGCCAGCGACGCCACCGGCTCGGGCGCTGGTTCGGTGCGTTACCGCCAGGTGGTGCTGGAGCGCCGCTCCCCCAACGAAGGGTTCGGATTCACCCTGCGACACTTCATCGCCTATCCGGAGGACGGCGAGGTCAGAATGTGTGCCACGCGGCCAGAGCAGGGACGGGATAGGGGGGGAGGGGGGTTTGAAGGTAACGGAGGAGGGGTTTGTAATGTGTCTTGTGCCGCTGCTCTGCTTTTGTAGCTATTGCAGTATAGGTTTTCGATACACGATTATCGAAATGTCTAGGTTGCTGCTTACTGGTTGATAGGGTATTTCCTTATTTCCTGTTTGTACATTTCACGAATTGTGGTACATTTGAGGGTGATTATTATTTAAATCACCTCCCGCCTTATGATTTGACTCTCACCCCACCTAACTTTGTTATTATTCACCATTAGTGGTGTCAGTTTCAGAAAATGTATGTCCAATGTCCGTCCAATTTCCAATGCTTACGTGAATTGTCCGTCCAAAAATGTCCAAGCCAGCCATTTGTCCAAAGATGTCCGAAACCTACGCAATAGTTTACACTCAACATTGCTATTCAATCTGGTTTAAATGTACTATTGCGAGCTTTAATGTGTTTTTAATTTTTTAATTATTATTTAATTATTTAATAATAATTAATTTTTTAATTTAATTTAATCATCTCAAAAGCTGAGCTTTCTATTCGCCAATCGGTGTTAAACACGATTGCTTTATAAAAATGCTGAGGTGTAGCAAGTGATTGTCCAAAGATGTCCAACGCCTGCCGTCATTATCCAACCGAATTCCGAATTGGACATTGGACAAAATCGGAATTCCGAAGATTCAAGTTCCGATTGACACCACTATTCACCATATTGCCAGCAAGGATCCATTCGGTAGACCTCTGTGTGCAATGGTCAATTGATACTGTACATAATACATTCAATTCCTAGCCGTCCAAAATTCTTAATTCACTAATATATCTGTGTCGGATGCATAAATGGATGTCGGAACATTGTTTCTCAACTTTGTTAAGTTTCCAAGCATACGTTTTATACCTACAGAAAGTTCACATTCAGTATTGACACGCTGTCAGGTTTGCTTGCCTCGTTATGAGCGTGATAAGAACCGAACATGCTAGCTCTGGCGTGAGGCCGAACTTGTAGAGCTGGAAAATTTGCTCCATCACTTTTGAGAACTCCTCGACAGCGCGCACCGATACCCCCCATCCCGGGGGACATCACCGGACCCGTCCCCGATATCCGCCGCCGTACCCCGGAGCCCGTGCAGCCCCTGTCTGCGGCGATAGTCCGTAGCGGATCGCACTCCGTCTGCTCAAACACACGGCGTCACCGCGCTCCGCTATCTCTGTGGCCGAGGGTCGCGCAGCGGTGTATCGTGCTGAGGGCACCGCCAGGGCCGCGGGCCGACTCAGACCTACCGGGGCTGATGATTCCCAAACCGCCGAGGGCTGTGTTTAGGAGGGGGACGGAGGGGATGTTAAAACCGCATTGGAATCGCTTTGAGTCATACCTAGACTCGGCGGCTGTCTATGATGGCCTATCCTCTGTGCCAGCGATAGATCACGGCAGAGTTGCAGCCCTACCGAGGGTGCTTTTTACTGTCAGTGTGATTTGAGGAAACCTTGCCCCTGTCCCTTTGACGGACGTATGATCCACCAACCGTGCCAGTTGCTTCATATTTAGCCACTGGGCGTCATTAATTCATGTGTTCATTTTGTGGAACTGAGCGTCAGTGCGGGTCTGTTTCGTTTGACGCCTGTTTCGTGTGGCTGCTGTTCATTTATCTCCCCGCGGCCGGCCCACCAAAAGACTGGCACCGCTGAGTCACAAAGGGGTCGCGCATTGAACCCGCGCCCGGCGGCAGTGACCCCGCCTGAGTCACGCCAGTTGGCCGGCCGTGTACCCCAACTGACGTCACTGAGTGGACACGTATGACGCCATGGAGTCACCCGGAGATAGGTCATGGAATCGGTTCAACTAACCCCACCGTAAATCGTCTGTTTTGACTTTTGTGTCATCGTTATCCCGATGTTAACGTCTCTTCGCCCTCGTTGTGAGTTAGCTGTTCCGGCAGCTGCTGCTCTGACCCCGTCCCTCTGAGTCTGAGTGTGTTCTCGTGTTTGCATGTCGGAGTGGAGCCGCTCTGACTCTGCTCTGACCGTTCTGCTCTGATCCTGTCCCTCTGGGTCTGACTGTGTGTGTCCGTGTGTTGGCAGGTGGAGGTAGAGTCCGCCCTCTGACTCTGCTCTGATCCTGTTCCTCTGGGTCTGACTGTGTGTGTGTGCATGCGTCCGCAGGTGGAGGTAGAGCCGCCCGGGTTCCAGGAGACCATATTCGTCAGCAACGTGGCGCCCGGCGGGCCGGCGTACCACGCCGGTCTTCAGATTGGTGAGTACCCGGTCATCCGTCCCGCATCGCGCTCTTTATTGTCACTGACACATGACGCTTTCATCGCGTTTAAACATCATTTAGCCACAGATGGAAATGTCACCTGGTAAAATATGCTGGGACTGTTGGGTGGGACTTCGTATGTCATTTAATGTCTAATATTGCATAGGTGTTGCCGCAAAAGTAGGCCCACGTAAATTGGGAATTGGTGAGTTTGGAGACAGCAGGCATCTAAATAGCAACTTTCGAATTATTTTTATGCAGTGTAGCTTGTGATGCTGCCTTTTGGGATTTGTCTTCCGAACTGTTTGGGATTTAGCGAGTAAGATATGGACGCTCTTTCTCGTTTCTATATGCTTTGCTGAAGCCGTATCTTGGTCTATTTTGGATTAATGTGATCACGTTTCTGCAACGCTCTTCGTAAATTAATTTGATGTAATGCCAGCCATATAAGCGTGGTTCGGTTCCTACATTTTCTCGGCGTTTTGATACGAAAATAAACCCAATTTACTGGCAACTTGTCTTCGTGTGCTCATCTTGCTTCATATATTGGCTCAATAAGGTGTAGCGCAATAAGCGTCTCGGTATTCTTTGTGGTGCAATATGAATCTGTATGTGACATTTTTAGGATCGCCGCAATCCACATGAGTGCATTCTGTTCATCTTGTGGCTCGCGCTCGGTATGGGTCATTGATGCGTGAATATTGCTGTATGCAGCGCGGCGGGGCTACTCCATGGCTTTTTCTTCGGGCTCAATAACTCGGGTCAATGTTACGCAGTATCTCCAAGCAAGCAGCGCACATTATTAGTGTCGACACAGCCTCTCCATAACTGACGCCGAGCCTGCGGGCATTGCTCGGGATGAGTAAGATGCTGGGAAATGCCAGCAGGGATGGGGAAAACAGGTGCTCACAGGAGGTTGCGGAGGTCTCAACCCGTATAATGCAAAACACACCTGGGTCTTAGCTAAAACCCGCTGGAGATGATGCCTCAGTTGGGGTTCGTTAATGATCACTCGTCTCGCTAATAACTAACATCTCGTGTCGGACTGCTGCCCTGCCATCCATTTCGTCAAAACTACATAGTGGTGCTGCATTTGATTGATCTATATGTCTGAATGGTCTATTCGTGGCGGCTTTTTCCATGCCAGCGCCCCATCGCGTCGGACTCGGCACTCCGCCACGCCACGTCCAAACTCTATTGGCGAGCGCATTTAGCGCGGCGGTACCGTGGGTGACCGACCGGGGACGCACCGGTAACGACTCGTGTCGGCGAGAGACAGCCGTCGTATCGGCAGAAGAGAGAGACAGCCCCACCGGGCCGGCAGAGGAGATTGGCTCGGTCAGCTCCGCGAATCGGGTCTGCGTCGGAGCGCGACTCCTCTCGGCTGTGTCGGCGACTCGGCGGGTGTAAGAACAGCGATGCTCGGCCTTCTGTAGTCCAGGTGGATATGATTTTATCCGCGGTATTCCTGTCTTTTCATACGTGCCTGCGCTATCTGGTGTCCTCAGTTTGCTAGTTGCAATGGTGGGAGCCCGGGGATGCCGACCTGGGGCGACCGACTGATCAGTGACCGGTGACCTATGACCGGTGACCAGTGACCGGTGACCTATGACCGGTGACCTGTGACCGCGGTGACCGGTGGCGCCCCGACCTGGCGCGCGGAGCAGCCCGCCGTCGGCTGGCCGCTGCAGCCGGCGGCATTCCAGTGCGCTGGTCGTCGGCCATTTATTTCCGTCTGCATTGCTGGCGTCGCGGCTCGGCTCCAACACCAACAGGGTGCGCACGGTGCCGGCGGCGGCGGCGGCGGCGGCGGCGGCGGCGGCGGCGGCGGCAGTGGCGGCCCGGCGGCGGCGGCGCGCGGTGCGACGGGCGGTGTCGACTGCTCTGTGAGGAGGCCACCATCCCGGGACACATACAGGTGAATGGGGCGGCCGACTCTGCCGGACGCGGGGAGCGGGGCGGGTGGTGGAACCGGCCGCGGCGGGGTGCACTGAGTAACGACTGCGACGACTGTGGACTGGAGGTGACTGGAGCTCACTGAGACTTACTGGAGCTGAAGGCATCTGACTCCGAGTTCAGTCCATCTGTTCGGTCTGGACGATTGTCTCTCTTGTTGAGTTCCAGCGGGCTTTTTTAAGCTCTGCCCATCCTATCGTATTTCGACCTCTCCCTGTTCCGCAGCCGTGGTCGGCTGAGATGACGACGTGCCGTACTTTCCGAGCCGGACTCGACCACCAGAGGAGACTGCCGGTCCTCCTTTCCGTGCCGCCGGCCGAACTCCCTCCCTGCCGGCCACAATGGGCGATCGGGCCCGGCTCGGCGGCCTGTATATTTGACCTGGCGGCGCCGGCAGCTGGCGTATACTACCGACCGTCTGCTGATCACCGGTCGCCGCTCCTATTTGATAATCAGTGGAAGGACTGGCTGACTTCCCACCTGACACCGGGCCATCCCTGGACCCCGGTGTCAATCTGGATTGATCTGGAATTTTGCTTTGAAACGTTGCGTCTGGACTCGCGCTACTGAATGTGCTTCACTCTGAGTCGTGACTCGTCTCTCATGAACTATGGCACGAGCCTCCTTCAGTCTTGTTCAACCATTGCGGCTATTGCGAATAGTCCCAGTCGCTCTACCGACTGGAAGCTTCAGTGAAGTACTGCTGCTGTGGTGCTCAATAACCCAGCCATGTGCAGTCAGATGTGCTGACGTGGCTACCAGCCGTTTTCCTTTCAGAGTCCTGCTCCTGTTTATTGGAGCGTGCGGGTATCCCTAGCACCCAGCACCCAGCTGTCCCTTGGAAACACAATGCATGACGCTGCATCACGCACTCTGCACAGCTACGTTACCTTTCCTGATGTGGTGACTTTCGACCTCCGTTTCCCACGTCTCTGCCGACTCGGAGATAGCGCGTGTACACTGAGGGTGTCGAGTAACAGCCACCGTGCGTACCGGCCGCGGTGCCGCCGGCAGCGCGCGCCTGCCAGGACCTAATTCTGGCGCGAGCGAGCCCTCCGCGTGACGTCACCCACACCCGCTGGGACCAAGGAATGACGTCATACACACGGTCACGGCCCAAGGGAGAGTGACGTCACTCACACTATGGTCGATAGTCACGTCATACACACGACCCAGGGGGAGTGACGTCTTACTCGTCCCATGGGGCAGTGACGTCACAGGCGACAGCTCCGCTGCCCAGGTGTGGAACCACTGGAAGTGGATGACGGTTGACGGCTGTTTTATTAGCTCGACCGTGACATTTCCAACTTTGTATATCGATCGGGCGACGGTCGTCTGGACCTGAGTCGATGACATGACAGGGTTGAACTGAGTTGGGCGTACCGAGGGACACTGTCTTCTGTCGACCGACGGAATTGCGAGCAGTCGAACCTCTGTCCTCTGCGGGCTGGGGGCGGTCGTCACCTCCGCCGCGGCTGGTGAACTGTGGGCGGTGTGCTCTGAGTGAGCCCGCAGCAGCTCCAGTCCAGACCGGGGCCGAGCCGGCCGGAGTGTCGACCTCCGATGTCCGTCCGTATATCGGAGCTGACCGTTACCGGGCGCGGAGAGCGCCGAGACCGAATCCAAACGGTCCGATATGTGCGCGCCTGTTTGTTTATCGACCTCCGGGAGGGCGGGCTTGTGGTTTTGGGGAGTGGGGCGGACAAGATAGCGGCGACTCTGCTCTCTCGAGCTTAGACTCTGAACCACACGATAGGTGCTGCAAGTTGCAACACCCACAAAGGGCTGCTGTCGGTTCTGAACGACTTAAATAGCTCAGTGTGTCGCAGATCCTTGTCATCGTCAGGGATTAGCAATCGGCTGTATCTGGCCGGTGTCGCAGTTTGGGGTGTTATCGGAGCTATTGGTGCGGTCCGGGTTATGATTGGGTAGGAGCCGCTAGGTGAGAGGCGATACCCCCGAGGGCGACGGCAGAACTGGTGGACTACAGTCTGATTGGACTGTGCGCGCTGGCGGACTGAGGAAGCCAGTATTCGCTGGTCGCTGGTGGTCGGTTTGACTACGTCTACCAGACTGGCTGGACAACTCGTCCGGTTGGTCCACTGGACATCTCGTCTGGTAAGCAGGCTGGACGTTCTGTTGCTCGGTTGCCCACTGCCCAGTACATACCTCGTCCGGCTGCTCGGTTGGACAGTATCTCGTCCGTCGCACAGTGTGGCCGAACACCAGTTTAGCGCGAATTTAATCCCAGCGCCGCTCGGATCCACTGAAAATGGTTCTCTGGTTCCAAAACTGACACTTACCCCTCGCCGGACTTATTGGTTTTCAAAATACGCGCCGGCCGAAGGGGTGGGGGGTTGGTACGACCCCCGTCGCTGTTTCGCCCCTGATGGAGCTAGAGCCCCGCGGAAAAAAAACGAGCGTGTGCGCCGTTACGAGACGCAGCGACTGGTATCCGATTTTAAGGTCTCAGGCCAACCTGTGACCTCTGAGGTCAGGTCAAGTGAGCCAGGCGCGGATTCATTTTTTATTAATAACTTCGCGAAAAAATGCCGCAGAGCCGCAATTTTGGTATCATCATGTTCGCCTCACTCAGGCGCGTCGAATGGTATACTTTTTGTTCGGCTGAAGTTAACTTAAGGTGTTGACCGTGGGTCAAGGTCAGGTCAGAGTCCTCCATATCACGAAGTTGGTTGAAGGAGGTCATGTTGTATATCATTCGATTCGGCAAGTCTTCCTGAGTCCATTGGTGGCTTTCTCGACTCGCTAGCTCAATTTAATCGGGAGTTATTGACGAAAAACTCTTATTACCCTAGTGACGTCATAAATGACGTCACGTAAGACCAACAATGCATAAGTGAAGCATCGGACCTTGCAAGGAGTGCATGAAATCACGATTTCGTGTGCTTGAGATAGTTTATTAAGCTGGAGCCTGTCCGACCGCGCCGCCCCCGACCTTGGTCAGGTCACATAGGGCGGCCGACTAGACATGTTCAAAGCTGAGTTGACGGCAAATAGGCAAAAACTGGCAGCTGAAACTT